AGAAAGCATCAGGCCCAGGTAGTTTTTTGTTGTTGTTGTTTTGTTTTTTAGTGGCTTAAAACAACACAAATTCCCCAGGAGTTCAAGATCAGCCTGGGCAATATAGTGAGACCCTGTCTCTAAAAAACAAAACAAAACAAAATCACAAAATTTTGCTATCTTAACATTGTGAAGGCCAGAAATCCAATATGAGTCTCACTGGGCTAAACACAAGGTGTTTGCGGGACTTTGTTTCTTTTTGGAGGCTCTACAGAAACCATTTCCTTGTCTTTTCCAGCTTCTAGAGGCCACCTGCACTCCTTGGCTCATGGCTGTCTTCCTCTGTGTTCAAAGCCAACAACATAACATCTCTCTGACTCTGCTTCTGTCATCCCCATCTCTTTCTCTTTCTTATTTGTTTCCTTCTTCCTCTTTCATAGAGACCCTTGTGTTTACATTGGACCCACCAAGATAATCAAGTATAATCTCCCTATTTTAATGTTTAGCCACCTTAATTCTGCTGTAACTTTATTTAATTCACCTTTACATGTAATTTAATATATTCACAGGTTTTGTGGATGAAGATGTGGACATCCTTGAGGGGCCTTTATTCTGCCTACTACACTATTCCAGCCCCTTCACTATGATTTTTAAGTACATTCCAGTATTTGTTAGAGGCCCAGACAGCTTTACTGGTGAATTCCACCAAACATGTAAGAAAGAAATGATATTCTCTATAGTCTCTTCCATAAAAACTGAAGCAAAGGGAACACTTCCTAACTCACATCCTATGAGGCCAGCATTACTCTAATACTAAAACCAGATAAAGATATTACAAAAAGTAAAACTCCAGACTAATACATCTCATGAACATAAATGCAAAAATCCCTAACAGAATATTAGCAAATTAAATCCAACAATGTATAAAAATATTTATTCACATAGCCAAGAAGGATTTATTCCAAATATGCAATGCTGGTCCAACATTTAAAAATTAATTAATGTAATCCATAACATTAACAGGTTAAAGAAAAATCATATGATCATATCAATAAATGCAGAAAATGCATTTGACAAAATCTACTACCAATTTGTGATAAAAATTCTCAGCAAACTAGGAATAGAGGGGATTTTTTGACTTAGCAAAGAAAGTCTACAAAAAGTCTATAACTAATATCACACTTAATGGAAAGAAACTAGGTGTTTTCCCTTTCTTTTAGACTGGGCATGAGGCAAGGATATCCCCTCTCACCACTCTTATTCAACATTATACTCAAAGTCCTAGCTGATGCGATAAGAAAAGAAGGAAAATAAAAGGTATACAGATTGGAAAGGAAGAAATAAAACTGTCTTTGTTCACAGATGATATGATTGTCAATGTAGAAAATCCCAAAGAATAGGCAAAAAATTCCTGGAACTAAGCAATTACAGTAAAGTCACAGGATATAAGGTTAATATACAAAAGTCAATTGCCTTTCTATATACCAGCAATGAACATTTGGACTTTGAAATTAAAAGCACAATATCATTTATATTAGCATGAAAAAATTAAATATTAAGGCATAAACACAATAATATATGTACAGGATCTATATGAGGAAAACAACAAAACTCCAATAAAAGAAATCAAAGAATATCTAAATAAATGGAGAGAGATTCTATTCATAGATGGGAAGACTTAATATTGTTAACATGTTAATTCTCCCCAACTTGACCTATAGATTCACTGTAATCCCAAACAAGCTCCCAGCATTTTGTGGTTATCAACAAAATGATTCTATGGTTTACAGGCAGCAGCAAAAGACTCAGAATAACACCAAACTAAAGAACAAAGTCAGAGCACCGATGCTACTCAAATGTAAGACTTACTATATGGTAATCGAGACAGTATGGTATTGACAAAATAATAGACAAAATGATAATGGAGCAGAATAAAGAGCCCACACATAGACCCTTATAAATGTAGTCAACTAATCTTTGACAAAGGAGAAAAGGAGCAAATGTTATTCAATGGAGGAAGAACAGTCTGTTCAGCAAATGGTGCTGGAACAATTGGATATCAATATGCAAAAAAATGAATCTAGACATACAATTTATACTTTTCATAAAAATTAACTCCAAATGGATCTTAGAATTACATATAAAACATAAAACTATATAACTTCTAGAAGATAACAGGAATATCTAGTTACCTTAGGTTTGGCAATGAGTTTTCAGATATGACAACAAAAGCATGACCCATGAAAGAAAAATTATTAAGTTGGACTTTATTAAAATTAAAAACCTTCTCTGTGAAAGGCATTATTGAAGGAATGAAAAGCTGAAGGAATAAAGAGAAAGAATTTCTTTTGCAAATTTTCACAAAGAACGTGAAAAGATCTTTGCAAACGTGTATTTAATTAAAAATTTGGGAAAAAAGAAAAAAAAGATGTCACCTCTATCACCTAGTCAGATGTCAGTCAGCTCGAGAGGGTTGATAATGTTGTCTATGTCTTCTATATCCTTTATGGCTTTTGTACCAGCTGTTCTATCAATTATTGAAAGTAAATTATTGAAATATTCAATTATTGTTATCAAGTTATCTATTTTCCTTTTTTTAATTCTTTACATTTTGACTTGAATATTTTGAAGCTCTGTTGTTAGGTGCAGATACATTATTTCTCCTTGATGTATTTAACCTGTGTTCATTATGAAATACCCCTTTCATGCTGAATAGTACGTGTTTTAACATCGATTTTGCCTGATACCAATATATTCACTTGAGCTATATTATGGTTACTGCTTGTATAGTGTCTATATTTTTTATTTTTACTTTGGGACTATTTGTGTCTTTGAATCTAATGTATGTCTTTTGCAGTTAGTGATGATTGAATTTTTCTTTTTACTCAGTCTGTCTGACAATTTTTGCTTTTTGATTGCATTATTAGAACTATAACATTTAATACAATGATTGATATGGTTGTACTTAAATTTACCATTTTGCTAATTGTTTTCTGTATTTCTCCTGTCTTTCTGTTGTTGTTGTTGTTGTTTCTTTCATCTTTAATTGGCCTCTTTTTTCTTAAATAATATTTTCCAGTGTAGATTTTTAGTGTTTCTGTTTTCGAGTTGTATTATTTCAGTTGTTTTCTTAGTGGTAGCGCCAGTGATTGCAATATGCATATTATCCTATCACAGTCTACTTCAGATTAATACATAAACTTAATTCTAGTAAAATACAGAAACTTGCCTTCAACGTTGCTTCACTTTCTTTCTTGTCTTTTGTAATTTTATTGTCATATATATTACATGCATATATGTTGCAATCTGTTAATATAGTATTTAATTTATTGTGTTAATAAACTTAATGTCTTTTAAAGTTACTAAGAAAATAAATTGGAAGATTTATTAAAAAGAATTTGTATCCAAAATATACAAAGTCCAGCCTGGGTGATGGAGCAAGACTCTGTCTCCAAAAAAAAAAAAAAAAAAAAAAAAAAATGTGTATATATATATATATTCTTAAGAGTTCTTTGCATATATATATATGCAAAGAGTTCTTTGAGTCACTTCAATAGAAATCACTTCAATAAAAAAAACACAGATGGCAAATAACCATATGAAAAGATGTTCAACATCAGATGTCATTAGGAAATTGCAAATTAAAATAATAAAATACCACCATACACCTATTAGAATGGTCAAAATAAAAAAAACTGACAATACCAAATGCAGGGAAGGATAAGGATAACAGGAATACTTTTTCATTGCTGGTGGTAATGCAAAATGGTAAGCCACTTTGGCATACAGTATGGCAGTTTCTCATGAAACTACACAGTCACACTCCGGCAGTCACACTCCTAGGTCATCTACACAATTGGGTTGAAAACTTATGTTCATACAAAAACTTGCACACAAATGTTTATAGCAGCTTTATTCTTAATCACCAAAAACTGGAAGCAACCAAGATTTCCTTTAATGGGCGAATGGATAAACACACTATGTTATATCCATACAATGAACATTGTTCAGCAATAAAAAATGAGCTATCAAGTCACAAAAAGACATGGAGGAAGCTTAAATGCATATTGCTAAGTGAAAGAAGCCAGTCTAAAAAGTCTACATACTGTATAATTCCAACCAGCTACATGACATTTTGGAAAAAGCAAAACTGTAGAGACAGTAAAAAGATCAATGGTTACCAGGGCTCAGGGGAAGGGATAAATAAGTGAAGCAGAGAGGATTTTTAGGGTGGTGAAACTATTCTGTATGAAACTGCAATGGTGCACACATGCCATTATGAATTTGTCAAAACTCACATAAACTTACAACACAAAGAATGAACCTTAATGTGAATTATGGACTATAATTAATAATAAATTAATATTGGTTCATCATTCGTAACAAATGTGCCACACTAATGCAAGATCTTAATAATAGGAGAAATTGTGTAAGGAGGAATGAGGGTATGGGGTATGGTGGGTATATGGAACTCTATGTATTATCTGCTCTATTATTCTATAACCTAAACCTATACTTTAAAAAATACAGTATATTAATTTATCTTAAAAATAAAATCATAGGGACCAAAATAAATAACTTTTTTGGTTCTAATACAAAGATAATATACACGCCTTTATATCATACAAGAGCGATTCCAAACAAATAAATATATGGAGAGTATAAAATTTTTATTTTATTATACTTTGATACCCTTCTTGACCTTACTATACTCCTAGGTACAAAGCAACATACTGTTTGTAAACAATAAAACATTTCATTAAAAATCATCCATTAATACTTCAAGTTTCCTTTGTACACTGGAGATATTGGATTAAATGCCTTCTTAGAAATGCCATGTTAACCATTTATTTTAAAGTTTCTAAAATGCATGTTTTCCAGTGGTTTGGTCTAGTGATTTTACTTAATGGAATTATCTGTGATGCTCTGGGATGTGAAAATCATCTTGTGTCCCCCACTTCCACAAGTAAGTAACAATGCTTTCACCTCTAATCTTCATGTGGCTGATTTTTGTTTGAAGTTTATGGGCAAGATTTAGCTCCGTAGATAAGGACAGAAACGCAGGTCTGACAAGTTACATCAACATCAGGACTAAAAGTCGCAGGACTACAAACCACTGCAGAGGAAAACACAGGGAGTAATTATAATTTAGAGGTATTTTATGCCTCTACCACTTGGAGGTATTTTATGCCAACAATGTAAATCTGCCTTTAATGTCACACCATTTCAGTGCCTATATTATACCAAGTAATGTTCAGCTCATTTAAGTTGTGGAAGATTATTTACGAGTTTCAAACTTTATAATTTGATGATCTTAATAGGAGAAAGGGAGAATCCTATTTTTTCTTTTACTATCAGCATTTTACAGTATCTTCTGCAGTGCCCCATTTATGAGTTCCTATTTCTAGTTTTCTAGTTCCTATTTCCTAGTTCTCTGCTTTCTAGGTAGGACAATTCTGTTTTCCTTCATTGTACAGTAGCTTAAGACAGAACATTATAGAAATGTTTATAATACAAGAGAGTACATCAGGAAGAATTAATACACATTAAAATAGCTATATTTAAGAAATTTGGGCTTTGGCTGGGCGCAGTGACTCATGCCTGTAATCCCAGCACTTTGGGAGGCCAAGGCGGGCAGATTGCTTGAGCTCAGGAATTCAAGACCAGTGGGGGCAACAGGGCGAAACTCTGTCTCTATTAAAAATACAAAAATGTTTATGCACACCTGTAATCCCGGCTGCTCGGGAAGCTGAGGTTGAAGGATGGCTTGAGCCTGGGAGGCAGAGTTGCTGTAAGCTGAGACTGCACCACACTGCACTGCAGCGTGGGTGACAGAGCCAGACTCTGTCTCAAAAAAAAAAAAGGGCCAAGCATGGTAGCCCACACCTGTTATCCCAGCACTTTGGGAAGCCAAGGAAGACGGATCATTTGAGGTCAGGAGTTCAATCGAGACCAGCCTGGTCAACATGGTGAAACTCTGTCCCTACTTTTTACAAAAATTAGCCAGCTGTGGTAGCTACTGGGGAGGCTGAGGCAGAAGAATAACTTGAACCCAGGAGACGGAGGTTGTGGTGAGTTGAGATCGCGCCACTGCACTCCAGCCTGGGTGACAGAGTGAGACTCTATCTCAAAAAAAAAAAAAAAAAAAAAAAAATTGGGGCTTTGAATTTTTACTTCCCTTTAGCTAAATATATATATATATATATGTATATTTTTTTGGTAAGAGAATTACTGTAAAGATTCTATTCAGTTATGCCAAGTGAATTACTTATATATTCTTCTGACTCTATAACCTAAATATTTAGATATTTATATTTTATAGTTACCACAACAGCTAGCGCAATTACTGTGTAGACTTTCATCTTTTCCAAAGCCTGGTCGACAGCTATCCAGACGTACTACTTGCAAACTGTGGTCCACAAAATGCATTGCTGGTAGAGTTGTATTAAAGTTATGGTGGAAAATATATGCTTGGCTCCAAAAAAATTCTTCTATTCGATCTCTTGCCTAAGGTTGAAAAATACCAGAGAAAGGTACAATTACTAAACCATGAACCAAATTTATCCTCCAGTATCACAGGCAACAATGTACTGTAAGCATGCCATACTTTACATAGAGAAATTCCTGAAAAGGTGTGTGCTAACATCAAAATTAGTCTAGCCTTGACCTTATCAATTGTTGTTAATTAATATGTGCAATGGTTAAGAAAAATTGGCTGGGCGTGGTGTCTCACGCCTGTAAACCCAGCACTTTGGGAGACCAAGGCAGGCACATCAAGAGATCAAGAGATCGAGACCATCCTGGCCAACACGGAGAAACTCCGTCTCTATTAAAAATTCAAAAATTAGCTGGGCGTGGTGTTATGTGTCTGTAGTCCCAGCTACTCAGGAGGCTGAGGCAGGAGAATCCCTTGAACCCAGGAGGCAGAGGTTGCAGTGAGCCGAGACTGTGCCACTGCACTCCAGCCTGGTGACAGAGCAAGACTCTATCTCAAAAAAATAAATAAATAAATAAATAAATAAATAAATAAATAAAAATTAAAATTAAGATTAGGCTGGGCGCGGTGGCTCATGCCTGTGATCTCAGCACTTTGGGAGGCAGAGGTGGGTGAATCACTTGAGGCCACGAGTTCGAGACCAGCCTGGCCAACATGGTGAAAACTCATCTCTACTAAAAAATACAAAACTTAGCCAGGTGTAGTGGCAGGCACCTGTAATCCCAGCTACTCGGGAAACTGAGGCACAAGAATTACTTGAATCCAGAGGCAGAGGCTGCAGTGAGCCGAAACTGCGCCACTGCACTGCAGCTTGGGTGACAGAATGAGACTCCATCTCAAAAACAAAACAAAACAAAATGAAAAGAAAAATTAAGACAAAAAACTTGTTTTGAATTATTTGCAATGTCTATCCCATATGTAGATAATTGGGCGTTCATTATATCTAATTTCCATGATCATCAAAGAAAAAGAGTCAAGCAAAACGGAAAGTAAGACTTTTCTTGGCCGGGTGCGGTGGCTCACACCTGTGATCCCAGCACTTTGGGAGGCTGAGGTGGGCAGATCTCTGGAGGTCAGGAGTGAGACCAGCCTAGCCAACATGGTGAAACCCCGTCTCTGATAAAAGTACAAAAAATTAGCTGGGTGTGGTGGTGCACACCTTTAGTCCCAGCTACTTGGGAGGCTGAGGCAGGAGAATTGCTTGAACCTGGGAGATGGAGGTCGCAGTGAGCTGAGATGGCCGCCACTGCACTCCAGCCTGGGCAACAGAGCAAGACTGTGTCTCAAAAAAAAAAAAAAAAAAAAAAAAAAGAAAAGAAAAAAAGACTTTTCTTTAATCAGCATTATAAACTGATGATGTAAATCTTGGGTTTTTGAGCACAGAATTTAATAATAACTAATTTTAACTAAGTACTTCTCATAAGCCATGCACAGTATCAATTAAGGGTATGAGCTCAGGAACTAGACCAGAGAGTGAAGGGATTTTTAAGACTATGTCCTTAGCCTCTGAGGATGGTAGAGGGGAGAGCAACTATTATGACCAATGTAGATACAATTCTGGAAGCACCATTGGCTTAACGTAGGGTGATATGTTTGTGAAATTGTTCTTTAAGTTGCTATTTAATCATCACTTGGGGAACAAAGACCAGGGATCTATCCTTCTATAATAGATAAAATACATAATACTAACCTTGGGAACTATCTAATATTACAGATGTGCTACTCCAGAATAACACATCTTGATACTCCAGCTCTCTTTTGATAAAGAAAAAAAAATCACATCTTGAAATAACTAAGAATCTCATAATCTCAGTTTAAAAAACTGAAACCAAAAATCGATACTTGAAAAATCAGTATTATTAATACTTTATATTTGTTTTTTTTAAAATAATTTATTTCCTCCTTTGAAATGTTTTTATTATTGATAAATATTCACAAGATGGAGAAATAGGTTTTTAAAGAAATGTTTCAATATAACAAAGTATTTACAAAAATTTTTTAAATAGCTTTATTGATTTTCAAATACTTCTTCCTTGGCTGAGGCAGGAAGATCACTTGAGCCCAGGAGTTTGAGTCTGCAATGAGCTATGGTCGCACCACTACACTCCAGCCTGGGTGACACCCTGTCTCTAAAAGAAGAAAAAGACAAATACTTCTTCCTTACCATGAAATTCTCACCTGGAGGATATTACGATTAGTGATATCTTCACAGTCAACAGACCCATTGCAAGCACCTTTCCACCCTGGTGCAAAAGGATTAACTGAAGAGAAAAAAACCAATAGATTCACAAACGGATTCTGAAAAGTTCCAAACATTTCAATAAAGGTCCAAGTGCTGAATTCCTTGTGCATGCAGGCATGTGTTTAGTACAGCTATCTAATCCTAGTAATAAAACAAGGTGCACAATTTGAATAATTTATACTTGATGGTTTCACTCCATCTGGGGGCTAATGTAAGTAACTACAAGGCTTTAAAATGAATAGAAATAAATGTGGTTTAGTTATTCACTTTTACTAAGTTTTCAAAAATGCAATTTAAAATTCTATAAGAAGTTATAAGTGAAATATTAGCTGCATAAAGGCTGTATTAATAAAATATTGATTTTAAAGAAGCAACAAAATGTCATTTGAAAGTAATTACTTAGTGTGTTAAGTTTTAAAACCATCAACAGGCTAAGGTCAACTATATACTTTAGTGCTTAACAAACATTTAAGACCTATTACTTTAAAAATATCATATTAATATGGTAATTAATTTTGCAATCTATTGTGGTTCAGGACTAAATTCAAAATTAAAGAAATTTTTAAAATTTTACCTTGAAATGCTATAAATAGCTCATGTATGAGGCCATGTTCTGGAATTTCAACAGAATGGCATTTATATGATGGCTCTATGACATGGCATGACAAATCAGACATTAGATTATCCAAGATTTTCTTCAGCACTCTAAAGAACACATCATTGTATCTCCCTATGCAAGACTTTGTGGTAAAACGTACAGCCATCTGATATGAATAATCAGGTTCCCGATAGGCTTTAAAAACAGAAAGATGAGAGTAAAAGCAATGGTGCCTAGCATTAATTTCCTCTACCAAACAATTTTCAAACACCATGTAATACTCAATCCCACCAATCTTGCAATCAGCATAGAAACTTATCTAATAACATGTTTTATCAGTTAGTCCTCATAAAAATATACAAAACTGTTAACTTTAATGAAAAATGTTGTTTCCATCTGATATATTATCTACTTGGTACATCAAGAGAAATGGCTTCTGTGGGTTGGCTATATAGATAACAGTATCAAGAAAAAGAAAGACTTTTTGGGGAGGGCCTTAATTCACAGAAATTATTATTGCTGTCAGCACAGCCCAGTGAAAGGATCATTAACTTGCTTTTATAGAATTAAAGATCAGTTCTAAAGTTACCCGCTAAATTGTGATAAAGTAGATGTGCTTGCATATCTAGACAGAGGCAAGTAGGGAGTTGAAAGAAGATTAGGATAAACTATCTTGATGTCAACTTAAGAGTTTGCTTAGTCAAATACATCCCAAAATATTTTGTAAGTCATAATTGGTGATAGTCACCTATTACAGACTCTTTTTCATTAAACGGAGAAAGCATACACTTAATTATGATCCGAACTAAATGTACAAGTTAAAAGGTACCTAAATTCTTACCAAAGACCATAAAATCATATCTCTTTTTGACTGTCTTTTCTTCTTGGGTTTCTGCTTTAACAGTCTTATAAGAAAGAGTACATGTGTAAAGTCCAGACAAAGGCTCCAAAAAATCTTTCACCATCAGCTGTCCAGTTTTAGTTATATTTATTCTATTATTTCCTAAACAGAATAGTAAATTACTTATTTAACATATAACATATCAAGCATTATTTAGTACACTTGGAGTTACAAATAGATACAAAATTTTAAAAAATTAATGAACTATCTCAACTTTAAGAATCCCACAAAATCTTAATTCTGTCATATTACTCTATGGAAGACTACATGAGATAAGTACACTTTTGAAATATATTTTGGTTTTCTTTGTTTCTTGGCATCTAGTTTCAATTGGCTCATACCAGTAATTCAGAAAAAGAGATTACACTGCTCTGTAGTACTATACAATTTCTTCAGACAAGATGGAAAGTAATGAATAATATTTATGTTCCAAGGCACTCTTAACATCATGAAAAATTATATATTAGATATTTCATCTCCTATTACTGGTGCTACAATGATAAATTTTAGGTTTTATAAAGATCTTTGAATTAATACAGCTCTGAGAAGTAGGGCACAAAAATTACTGCTTCAGTTTTTGCATAAGGAGAAAATAAGGAAGTGGCCAAAATATAACATGATTTTTCTTTTTTTTTTTTTTTTTTTTTTTTTTTGAGAGGGGGTTTTTTTTTTTTCCCGGGGCGGGGGTTGGGGGTATAACATGATTTTTCTTTTTTTTTTTTTTTTTTTTGAGACGGAGTCTTGTTTGTCGCTTGGCTGGAGTACAGCGGCCGGATCTCAGCTCACTGCAGCCCGCCTCCCGGGTTTACGCCATTCTTCTGCCTCAGCCTCCCGAGTAGCGGGGACCAGGCTTCGCCACCTCGCCCGGCTAGTTTTTTGTGTTTTTAGTAGAGACGAGGTTTCACCGTGTTAGCCAGGATGGTCTCGATCTCCTGACCTCGTGATCCGCCCGTCTCGGCCTCCCAAAGTGCTGGGATTACAGGCTTGAGCCACCGCGCCCGGCATAACATGATTTTTCTAAGTAGGGAGCAAGAGAAACTGCCATTAAAATTAAATTTCAATTTGTTCTTTCCAATAAGCAATAGTGATTTTCTAAAAATATGTTCACATCATTAAAAAAGTACATATTAAAATCAAATTTACCTGTTAACGTCTTTTCATTAGGCCCAATCCATAAGTAGGTGGGGTCCACTATTTCTTTTTTAGAAAGCTTAAAATCCATACAGATAAGGACTGGGCTATTTTGATGTAACTTTACATATATTTTGCCTGTGATGAAATAAAATAATGTATAACTACATTATATAGCAAAATTAAATTAAGAAATATACTCCTACCATTTTGTCCTGAAGACATGAATTAGTTCTTGCTGGATTTCACTATTTTAAAAATCAATATATAACATTTAGAACGCTAGTCTGAAGTCCTTTTTGCTTCTCATAGTAAGCTTTTTAAAACTCTACACTATTAGTCATGAGTCATGACATTTTTCCATATTACAGTTTTGTTTATAAAAATATGCATTATACATTTAAAGTTCATTTTAATGTACAGATTTAGAACTCACTCAAATCATAATTTTTTGGAGGGTTGGTGGAAGCAATTCAAAGTTCAGAAAAGGCCTGGGCACGATGGCTCATGGCTGTAATCCCAGCATTTTGGAAGGCCAAGGCAGCGGATTGCTTGAGTCCAGGAGTTTGAGACCAGCCTGAGGAAAATGGCAAAACCCCATATCTACTAAAAATACAAAATTTAGCTTGGCGTGGTGATGCAGGCCTATAATCCCAGCTACCCGGGAGGCTGATGGAGGAGACTCGCTTGAACCCGGGAGGCAGAGGCTGCAGTGAGCCGAGACTGCACCACTGCTCCCGCCTGGGCAACAGAGCGAGACTCCCTCTCAAAAAAAGTTCAGAAAAAGACTTCAGCAACACTTTTAAAGATGATCAGCCGGGAGTGGTGGCTCACGCCTGTAATCCCAGCACTTTGGGAGGATCAACTAGGTCAGGAGTTCAAGACCAGCTTGGCCAACATGGTGAAACCCCGTCTCTACTAAAAATACACAAAAATTTGCCGGGCATGGTGGTGGGCGCCTGTAATCCCAGCTACTTGGGAGGCTGAGGCAGAAGAATTGCTTGAATCCAGGAGGCGGAGGTTGCAGTGAGCCGAGATTACACCACTGCACTCCAGCCTGGGTGATGGAGAGAGACCCTGTCTTAAAAATACACACACACACACACACACACACACACACACACACACACACACACATATATATGCTGGGTGCTGTGGCTCATGCCTGTAATCCCAGCATTTCGGGAGGCTGAGGCGTGTGGATCACCTGAGGTCAGAAGTTCAATACCAGCCTGACCAACATGGTGAAACCCCATCTCTAACTGCAGATTTTCTCCATTAGGAACAATAATTAAGCCTATCTGGGGCATATAGGAAGATGTGCGATTACTCCTTGTTTCTGGTTGGGTGGACAGAACGATGGTATGCTTGGAATCACTGCAACCCGGAAAGACATTAATTTTAAAGCCTACTGAATGCCAGCCAGGCTCTGAGCACATAAAGACAACGTCCTACAATTTGGTTGGGGTTCAGGGAGAGAACCCAAACATACAAGGAGTCTAAACATGACACGTGCTATCAACTGGCTCAATTTATCTAAAATTAGCTATGTAACTAATTTTCCTCGGGAAAGTTTCACTGCAGAGATAAAGGACATTTGAGCTGAGCCCTGAGGGATGCGTGTGAGTTTTCCAGTTAATAAGGAGAGGATTAAAGATATTCCAAACAGAAGGCCTTGGAAATCACTCCTCTGCGTGGCTTTCCCGCGTTGCAAAGCAGCAGAGACACCTGGAAGTGAGATGGCATCAGAGAAAGAGATCTGGAATAAATCCCAGCCCCTTGTGAGCTGCAAGGCTTTAGAGCAAGGCTACACAATAGGGGTCGCTGTAAGGATGAAAAGATGCGACCGTTGTGAACTGCCAAGCAGATGCTTGGTATAATAGATGCTCAATAAAGGCAGGTTCGTTCCCCTTCCCTCCAGGTAAGGGAAGCTCTTCCGGGAAGAGCTTCGCAGTTCCGGCCCCTCCAATGGGCCCGCGTGTGTAGAAGTCCTTATTACCTGGCTGTCCTGTCTTGCCATAAATGAAGCCCTTCGTATTGAATAACGTAGAACGCGGGCATCGGACTGCGGAGGAAAGAAACCACTGACTTTTACTTAGAAGAGGAGAGAGGTTCAGAGTCGGGCAGGGCAGGGCAGGGCAAGGCGAAGGAGGCAGGACCGGGAAGCTCGGGCAGAGGGAGAGGACTGGGCACCGGGCGGAGGGAGCCCCACCTCCTGTGAGGCACCAGAGCACCGCGGAGAGTAGGAGCCACGTTCGCATCACAGTTCAGCGGCTGGCGTTGCAGGAGGCGTCGAGGGACAGACCCCTTCCTACCTCAGCCCCGGCCCAACACCTCCGCACCTCCCCACCTCCTACACAGTGCGGAGCAGAACGCCGGGGTCGCCTCCCCTACCCGTCCGTCGCCACCGCGGGAGCGGACGCGCAGGAGAGCGCGTGCGTGCTTCGATTCTCGCGCGCTGGGACTGGGCGACGGCGAGGGAGGCGAGGCGAACGCCGGTTCCCCTCGCGCCCACAGGGCAGCAGGCATGCGAATCTTCGCGCCTCGCTTCCGGCGCCATTTTCTCGCGCTCCTGGCCCCTTGTTCTCTGAGTGGAGCGGAAGGGAGGAAGAGAGTAAAGGAAAAGAAGCCACAGCGTCGCGTTCCGGAGATTCCCCAGACTAGGGGCTGAAGGGATCAAGGAGAGAACACCGCGAGTCACAAGGACCGTGGTGGGGTAGGGCGGCTAGGGGATGCGATGAGGAATCCCCTAGGAAGGGGACCTGAGGAAGGCAGAGACTTGTGACAATTTCCCCCTCACGTGAAGCAGAGAGGCCCGTGTGGGGATTTCCTGCGCCTCTCTTCTCATGAACACTGAAACTGTGTGTCCAATCTCTTTCAAACTGACACGCGATTTTTACCTAATTGCATTCTTTACCCGCAAGACCAAGACCCAGAAGAGCCACTACTGAGCCAAGAAGGCGCCTCTGGGCCTTCCCACTCGAGAGGAACGTTGAATCTTCATTTTCACTTCAAGTATGAGGCGATGTGAGAGACCTCCCCCAGTGCAAAGGTATCTAGGTTGATGAAGTGACCTTGCTTTAAAAATGGGCCCAGTTGTAAGGCAAGAGCCAGATTGGCTTTTTGTGTAGGGATGAATGATTAGTCAAGATCAGGGAGCTCCAAAGGGGATCATGCCCTCGTCTTTGATGGTTCCTTCTTGGCTACTAGTTTGGTGACCCGAAAGGCCCTGTGCGTTGTCTGTTTCTTAGCAGCGGGACACCACCCTCAGTAGTGGTTTTGAGTAGGCTGGTTAGTAGAGAGAGCCCAAGGTTCAGACAGGGTGCAGAATGGTTATTTTGGGTGAGATCAAGAGTTTTCGGTTTTATTTCCTCTGAGCCGAGTCAGTACTTGGACTATCTCATATGGTCCAGGAGCAACCTTTGTCAGTAATTTCATTTTTAGTCACTGTTAATTTTACCTATATAGCATAAGCCATGAAATGTGACTCAGTGAGTCAGATCCACCCATTGTCAGTTACCATGTCTGGATTCATGGTCTGGTCTCAACTGCTCTCTTCTTAAGGTGATGATAATGAAGACAGATTTAGGCATTATCTTGATTCCCTACAAGTTCGTCATTCCAGTTTTTGTCAAAGTACATTATAAATCCACAGTGTGTTTTATTGGCTTCTCAGTTTTTGGTAAGTAATTGATCCTTGTAAATCCTATGGGATAAACTAAATCCTATGAGAGGAGACTTAACCAAATGAGTAATAGTTGTCTGTCAGAAATACGCATCCACTCTTTTTATATAAACTTTTTATTTTAGAAGAGTTTTATATTTACAGAAAAATTGCAAAAACAGTACAGGGAGTTTTTACATACTCCCTCCCGATTTTCCCTATTACTGACATCTTACATTGGTATGGTACATTTCTTACAATTAATGAACCAATATTGATACATTACTATCAACTGAAGTCCAAACTTTATTCAGATTTCCTTACTTTTTTATTCAATGTCCTCTCCACCCCGTTTCTTTTTGTTTGTTTGTTTGTTTTTGCTCCAGGATCTCATGCGGGATCCCACATTACCTATAGTCATTGTATCTCCTTAGATTCCCCTTGGCTGGGTCAGACTTCTCTTGTTTTTGAAGGTCTTGACCTGGCTTTAACTGGTGAGGTATTTTGTAGAATGCCTCTCTACTGGAATTTTGTCTTTCTCCATATTAGACTGGAACTATGGGTTCTTAGGATGAAGATTACAGAGATAAAATGACATTCTCATCACATCATATCAAGGAGACATACTATCAACATGCCTTATCACTTGATGTTAACCTTGGTCTGCTGGCTGAGGTACTGTTTGTTAGGTTTCTCCACTGTCAGCTTATTCCCCCGCTTTCATACTATACTCTTCGGAATGAAGTCACTTTGTGCACCCACACTTAAACAGTGGGGATTTATGCTACATCTCCTTGAAGATGGAGTAGCTACATAAATTATTTTACCAATCCACTTTCAATCCACTTAGGTATCACTCTCAGGAGTCTGAAGTACTCAGTATTGAACTATTTACAGAGTACTAACACATTCTACTGTCAAATATACAGAGAACATTGTAATGGAAAATCATAAAGTTTCCTTACAACTTTTTTTTTTTTTTTTTTTTGAGATGAAGTCTCACTCTGTTGCCCAGGCTGGGGTGCAGTGGCATGATCTTGGCTCCCTTCAACCTTCGCTTGCAGGGTTCAAGCGATTCTCCTGCCTCAGCCTCCTGAGTAGCTGGGATTACAGGCGTGCGCCACCACAGTCAGCTAATTTTTGTGTTTTTAGTAGAGACAGTATTTCGCCATGTTGGCCGGGCTGGTCTCGAACTCCTGACCTCGTGATCCACCTGCCTTGGCCTCCCAAAGTGCTGGGATTATAGGTGTGAGCCACTGCGCCTGGCCCACAGCTTTTTAATAACCAAATAAGTTTTCATCCTCATACCATCCTTGTGAAATTTTACAGTTCCTCTTCTGCTACTTTTGATGTGCTATTTTTGCTTCTAGAAACTAACAAACAACAAATTTCCCCTTTCAGTACTAAAATTAGACCTAGTGTTTAGA